TTGATGACTCCTTAAAGGAAATTAATCTGACAACAATCACGGACAGTCAGCCGTCTCCATCAGGTAACTGCATGTAAAGGAAATAAATTCCAGCTGGTGGGGGAAGGGAGAGAGCGTCCTGAGAAACTCACTCCTCTGCTCCCATTGATCATCACCTGTGCTGGACTTCATACAGCAGTTTAATCCTATTCTCTCCCTCAAAGGTTTCAAGCCTCTGCAAGATCCTGACTGCTAGGGAACAAAGACTGGTATGTGGTTCCCTCAAAGGTCAGTCATTAACCTGCCCCAACAACAGTTTTAGGAAGATCAAGGCAATGAAGAAAAACTAAGAAAAAGCACTTTCACTTTGGAATGAATTGTTCAAAATGCCTTTATGCATTCGGTTTTATTCCCTTTCAGCGCCACAGTTTTTAGTTCCTGCACGTATTTATTTCTCATCAGAAATAATGGCAAGATTTGCTCTCCCAGAGATTTGACCTTAAGTTTATTTTAGCCCCAACACTATAGATCATTCTATCAATTATGAATGTAGTCGTGTGTACAGAGGAACTGGTAAGCCAGCGCAGTAATGCTACCTTGTTCTGGTGACTTACCCTTATAAATAAATTAGGTGCATATCTTTATGAAATACCTGAAAGAAATAGAAGATGAGAGAAAAGAAGAAAAAGAAAGAAAAGAAAAGAAAAGAAAAGAAAAGAAAAGAAAAGAAAAGAAAAGAAAAGAAAAGAAAAGAAAAGAAAAGAAAAGAAAAGAAAAGAAAAGAAAAGAGAAAAGAGAAAATAAGACAGAGATGGAAACAAAATAAAATCTAAAAAACCTCATTTTTCTAAAGATAATAATTTTCTAGGATAGAAGCTAATATCAAGACTGGTTTCTCTGTGATTTGTATTTTCTGTGCCTGCATGTCTGTATGTGAGACAATATACTGGACTTGCAGTAGCCAGACTCTCAGTAAGACATTTATTTCCATAAGTTATTGATGACCCTTTACCTCACAAGTGACAGGCCAAAGTAGAGCCACGAGCAACTTCTGAGAGGTCATCAATAACAACTGAAAATAAATGTTTTATCCAGTCCCTGCCCATTGTGTGTCCTCTTTATGCAATGCCAGTTAAATTTCATCTGGTGCAGTTTTTTATGGGCTGTAACTACCTCAGCTCCTGTCTGAAGCAATGGAGGAAGGAGTGACACACACACACACACACACAGATCCCCATTTGGTTGCTCACACGCTTGGTGGAGTACCTTTTGTGAGATGCAGAGGTAAAAGCATGCATCTCTCAACACATGAGGATGAAACAGTACCCTAAAGAGTGAAAGGAGAGACTGCCACCTTACTAAAACATTAAACACAATAGAGAATCCTGATGCTGCAAGTGTGAGACAGTTCAGGAGAAAGAAGACACAGAGGGGACAAAAAAAAAGAAGCTGGGATGCAATGTTGTAAATAAATAATACCTCATGCGAATATTACAAATATATAATATTCTATTAATGTATTTTTAATAATAATTCATACCATACTGCAAGAAAGATTGATGTATTGCATGTGTTAAGAAATTCCTGGGGGCAAAAGAAAACTATTTTTGTCTATAAGGAGTGGTTTACTCCCAGTGGAAAAAGACTGAAATGGACATGGGATATAATGCCGTGGGGACATAAAATTTACTTCAAATACTCATCGCCACTAACCACAGTGTCTTTTAATTGAACATTTGTGCTTAAAATTTTCATTTTTCTTACTCTTTTGCATATGCATTTTCATGTTTTACAAAATATTATTTTGAGAGCCAGTTCTCAGGCGCTCAATCTTCAGCAACTATTTCAAGAGGCTGGTCTGAAGTAAGCTAATAACTTTGCATCCAGTTATGAAACTTCTGCTCACTTGAGCAGTCCCTATATCCATATCCTTACTCAGGCAAATAAGCTCATTAACGTGAAGAAAAACTTTCCAAATAAGCAAGGATTTGTGCTGCTTTTCAAGTCAATTTCTCCATTGAGGTAAATTAAGAGATTTGTTTGAATAAAATTTTATCAGTTCTTTAAAGTGTTGAAAGAGCAAGTTACTGGAGTAAAAATTACAAAAATAAATGTCATTAACACTTCATCATAAATATGTGGAAACATACTGGTATCGAGGATAACTTGAAATAGTTACTTAGCATAAGCTGTGTGATTACCCAAAATATTCTTATATATGAACATCATTTAGCTTAAAGAAAACAAAGTGAAACTATAAGAAATTTGCATGTTGAAGCATTTTTTACAGCAATTTGAATATGTCTTTAAAATAATTTTGCCTAGTTTGTCCCCTGTACAAGAAACCAAACCATGAAGAATTACTATACAATTACTCCAAAATGGAAAATAACATTCATTCCCATTTCTTCTAAGGGAACATTAGTAAGTCATAGAATATATTTAACTGTGAAGAATTGCACTTCATGGATCACTGTCCAATATTCTCCCTACATCCATCTTTCTTTTTTCTGCATCTCCAGCCATTTGCACTCTGCAATGTATATCTTGATTTAAATTCACAGTGCTACACACCGGTTTTCGTTAGACAATCCTCTTGTCCCAATAAATATATAAGGTCACTTTAGCATATACTATTGCTGAAATTAAAGTCATGATGTGACCCTGTCTGCCTCTAAAGGGGACATTACCTGTCAATGTTTTTTTCATGCTCTCTAAACATGAAATCCTGCAAGAGCAGTTTCTGTCAACAAAAGCTGAGGTCTCGTTTTCTTAAGTGACAACTTTCTCAGAAGCCATGCAGGCTATAAAGAATGATCACAGGAAGCAACCTGGTACAAATTAATATAAAACTCACCTTTTGAGCAGACTGCTTTTTCAAACACACTCAAGTACCTAAGCAAATTAAGCTAGTATTATCATCCTATAAGTAATTTCCTGCTATTCTAACATTTCTTCTGCAAGATGGAACAAAACAGTGAGGAAGAGCCTTTTGTTTCTGTTACTAAGGCCTTGGTAGATCTTCGTGTGTTATGGCAACAGGAACTCTATAGCAGGTAAATAAATAGATAATAAAATTACAAAGATTTCAGCAGGTATGGGAAGTACATGATGTGGCTCATAAATAGCTGCAGTCAAGGGATTTGAAGATGCATTTAAAAGCTTTCCCTCCACAAACACAACCACCAGACTTGAATTTCTAGTTCTTTCTAACTTCTGTTCCCAGTGGTGGCATCAATTTGACTTGAACCAAATCCAGCAAACACCATTTTCTATAGTGCATACATACTTGTCGGGCTGTCATGAGCACAAAACAAAATGCAGAACTGGAAATTAGGATCTGGCAAGCAGGTTATGTCTGAAACTGACACTGGCCCATGAAAGTACTTTGAGAACCACCTGATTACAGTCACAGAACACATCAATGCATTCACATCAACACAGAGGATACAAAGGTCTCTCCATCTACCTTGGATGTCCTTGCAGCCTGGGAAAGGTTGTCTTCACAGTCAGGGAAAAAGTGGTGATTTCTTTTTTTAATTTAAAGCTTTTTTTTTTTAAAGAGTAAAGAAAATTAATGCTGAAGATTTTGGAGAATTCCTTAAAACACTCATAGAGAACAAATAACAAACATGTTAGTATTAGCTTTCAAAATGTAAAATGTTGTATTAATGCAAAATATTGCTATTGAGGGTTTTTTTGTGGCACAAACTTAGACTGCTTTTGCTGATGAAGCTCTTCGGGTCCCCTGAAAATAAATACCAGTATCATCGGTGTAATGATAACATATGCAGATGAGCATGTACACATCTAGGTACTTATTTAATTTAGGTCGATTTGCTCATTGTCCCTGTAGGCTGCATTATTTGTGTGATTATAGACCTCTTAATGTAAACTCATAACAAATACAAAAATAATATAAAGTGGTATCATGCCATTGGTTTTCAGGCAGATTGGCTGAGGATTTCTGTCTACAAACAAAGGGCATGACATTACACATAAATCTGACCTAAATCTACACAAAATAAAATTAAAGTTAAGACTCTAAATTCAATCTGTTACTATGTAACTCAGTTTAATGGAGTGTTCCTCAGGAAGCTGCTCCAAATACTCCTAAATTATTTTCCCCTTCCCCAGAATAAGCATCTTGATTGCTTATTTTTGGACCACAATGCAGAAGGTTGTCAACATGACTTATCTTTCTTGCCACAAGCTTGCTTTAGTCAATGCAGAAATCTGACATTACCCGACAAACCCAGTGTTTCTGGTCACCTGAACAAAGCAACCTTCTTAAATGACATTAGCCTTCAGCTGACATACAACCACCAGCAAATGCCAGGATGCCTGTCAGTGACATACCAATGTTTTCTGCTGCTGCTGCAGACTCTCAAAGGGACGATGTGGGTTTGAACAGATTCCCACAACACAGCCATGTGGGAGACAGCATAGCAAGAAACTCTCATAGACATGAACCTCATCACAGTATTTTTTTGGTTCTCTCCAATAACTGAGGTAAAATATTTCTGTATGCATTTATTTCCACATTGGTGTAAAAAAGAGTGTACGTGACTATCAAGCCATGGAGAAGAGCTTTTTTAATTCTATTCATCTCTCCATAATGTCTGTTGTTATATGACTTTCTTGTAGCATACAAACCTGAAGGGAAGAATAAAATAGTGGGCAGGACTATGTTCCAGTCATAAGAAGGGTGCTCTAACCTGGACAACTACATGAACAAGAAAAAAAAAAAAAATTAAAAAAATCTCTTTTGTCTGTGAATAGCTATTGTGAGCAATCAACAACCATTTTTCTTTTTATTTTATATTAAACTTCATGCAAGGGGGCACTGAGAAATTGAAGGTCTTGAGAATCTTTTAGGTTTTCTTACTGAGAAGAAATTTCTGTAGTGAACACAACCAGAAAATGAGAGAAAAAAAAAAAAATCACATTTACTAAAGTGTATGAACTGTATTTAGATTCTGGGTTTGAGGAATATAAGGACAACAGTACTGAAGATGGCTCATGTTATTTGGGGAAAAGGTTGTGTTAAGTTTTGGTGATCAAAAGCTTTGGTGATGAATTATCCCTGGTGAGGAGTGGTACCAGAAGACCGATGGATTTCAGTCTAGCACTCTGCAGAGTGAGGCGATTTCTCTGTACTCCCAGAATTTCCAATGGATCTTCCCCGACCCATTTGGAGGATCCATGGGGCGCTGCTGCAAAGGAGCCCAAGTCTCACCTCCAGTTCTGTTGTCCAGAGGGACACACAGGCATGTAGGAATAATAATCCAATAAAAAATTTACATAGTCTTTCCTCCACCTCACTCCCCCACCCAATTTTTAATTTCATATCACTATCCCCTGTTGCCAAGAGGAGTTTATCTATGGTGTTTGATAAGGGAGCACTAAACACATTATATTGCTATTTTAAATGACATCACAACTAACTAGATATTTTAATTGAAGGTAAATAACCAACATTATTGCCTTTTGAATGATAGCAATAGGGGAGAGTAATGGTACCACTGAGGAATCAATTGCTATTTCCCTCATAAACCATAAACCATTCAGAGATTTATAATGCTTTTTTAATGATCAGCCCTTCTAGGTATTGAGCAGCTCCTCCAAGATCCTGAGTTTCTGGCTGCTTGCTGAAGTCTCCAGGAATGGGGAGCAGGGGGTCTCAGTATCGTGTATCTTTGCACCCACCAGGATGAAACTTGTCACACCAGTTATCAGCCTCCAGCAAAGGAAAGCTTGGGATTTTACTGCACTGCTCTGACACAGTGTGCCCCAAGCTCGAAAACGAGGACACTTGACTCAACCACTGTTTCATAACCTGCTTAAGAATGAAAATGCATTGAGCATTTGTGTGCATTTCATGCCCTCTTAAGGTAGGTATAGCAAGTAACCTTGTGTAAGTAACCACGTTGATTGCTTGCTTCCCTCTGCATACCTGAATGTGTTCCTTCAAATTGTAGCTGTCCAGAGACTATTTTAACTAATGTGGTACGGTTGGTTCAATGGCATCATATCATGCACAAACATCTGTGGATCCAGAGTGCTGTCAGAGGAAATGTCACCCATTTCGCACTTGGAAGGACTGTCCCCCTTCCCAGGTGCCATGACTCGAGAGACAGCATCAATGTCTCGGGTTTACTTTTCCACCTGGAGTCAATGGCACGTTCATATACTCAGACCTGTGCTGACAAATTCAGCATACATTACTCATTCTCGTTAAATTCAATGGGATTACCCTCATGACACAGGGCATACAAAGCCAGTCATTACATTTTCATTTTCAACTTGTTTTACTCTGGGTTTGAATCAAAAGTGACTTTTCTAATCTTCAGAGAACACCTATGATGTGGTCTGAACTCACTGATTCTTTTAATAGATCAAACTGGTCCAGTCAAGTATTATCAAGAATCTTGTGGTAATATTGCAAGGGTTTCTTACAATGGAAATGAATCTTGACTCTGGATGTGGGAAGAGAGCACAGAAAAATCCAGCCAAGACAGTTAAACTCCTCCAGCCAGCCAGAAAGGGACCAGATGTTTAAAGATGCACAGAATTTATTTAAAAATCCAAACTTGGTCTGGTGAAAAACAGAAGTGTTAATCCCTTTATACTCACATAGTGAAAAATATTGCTAATAACAGGACAAAAGCATGAATTTTAGCCACTGTCCCTCTTACTTGTGTACAAGCCTCTTTAGGGATGAAGAGTTTTACTATGCCCACCTAGATGGGTAACATTCTGGGGTTTCCAACTTATTTGTAAAGTGATTTACTGAGCATGTCCACTCTAAATTTTGAAAGAAGTAGCCAACCTAACCTGGTCCCACTTAAGTCAATGACAAAACCACCACTGACTTCAAGGAGAGCAAAAGCAGACCTGTTGTTGACAGGGAATTGGTGCGTATTGTTCAGCCGGGCATGTCAGACCCGCATGTATCAGCTTCATGAGTATCAAAAGGATTTATTAGAGGAAAACCCTGAATATTTATACAGTAGATGAAGGGGAGGGTTGTTTTTCCCTCTCCCACAAATCTCCACTGTGATAAGTTAGCTACACAAACGCATGCAATCCTCTCGCAACTTCAACGCTTGCAGACGCTCAGATTTTCCTTTGTACCCTCTGGGGTGGAAGTAGCCTGATAGAAAAAGAGGTGTGGGGCATTTCATGGTTCTTCATGAGTTCACAGAAATACTGAGTCATCTTCAAGAACCAGCGTGGTCTCAGTGGATTTGCTGTTCCAGGGTGTTTGTATGTCTGTGTTTGTGTGCGTTGGTGTGCATGCACAGAAGTAATCTGTCCAAATTAGCTTGGGAGGACTAGAGGGGAACCAGTTACATATTGGGGTTTCCCAGAGATTTCCAGTGGGATCAGAGAAGCTCCCAGAGGGGATTCAGTACAAACAGCTCAATATTACAGGGTATCTAGTTTCATGCAGATTTTGATTAAATGGCACCAGCAAGATTCGAGCCTGCATTTTCACCATAATTTACAATGTATTTTTTTTCTAGACAGCACATCGAATCTGTCCATATTGCAGGACTCCGGAAAACAAAGTAACTATAATATATGCTTGAAGGCCAGTGCCTGCAAGTAAACTGCAAGGACTTTCACTGAATAAAAGCAATGACTACAAGAGAATTGGGATCATCCAGCCCATAGCTAATGGAAATACACCTTCCCATCACATCCTCATGATGCAGCACACAAATCTAGACCTCAGTTTAGATTTGCACCTCAAAGATTTACACCGCACACTTGGATTTTGAGCTGAGAGGAGCCTAGCTGCGATGGATGGCAGTGGCAATGTGGGACAAAATAAGGGAACAAGAATGTGGGTATTTCTAAGCAATGCCTCAAAACATGTGTCTTTAAGAGGTGAGAGAGAATGCAAGTGTGCTTCATTATACGCTTCAGATGATCCAGCCTCACCCCTCATTCAAGTTCTGGGTTTGACAGCTTCCTACTGTATCCTTTATATATCACCCGTTGTGACTAAGCTTGGAGGGGACATGTAATCATTAATCACCATTATGGATTTCTTCCCTTCTGTTGGGTTTGACTTACAAGCTTAGGGGCAGATCCTGCAGCCTTTACTCCTTCCTTCAGCCCTTTGCCCAAGCAATCAGCCCTGCCTCACTCACGGGCAGCTTGCAGTGCTGCAGCATCTGTAGGATCGGGTGCCAAGTTTCTTACACCGGCGTCCCATTCAAATACGCAGTGGCTCTTAATCCTTAGCAGGAATTAACAGGAAGTTTCAACACTGCATTATTAAATTAAAAGGTTACAATCTGCCACAAGATGACTTAAGCAGGACTCAGGAGTATATGTCTGTTAATTTTAATGCTCTGTCTCAAAGTACAGAACTCTGGACATTTCCAGCATCATATTTAAAACATGGTACATCTACTAATACGTGATCTGGTGCATTAATGGACCAAATTAAGTTACAGGTATGAATTTTACATAAAACGGATTAATATTATATGTCATGGAGGAATCTTAAATACTCCATCTCCATGCATTTTTAATAGTTATGTGCTCTAATTTAATGTTCCCTGGCATTGCTTTGCTTGAAGTCCCTAAACCCTCCTCCTTCCTTCCCCCCTACACTCCTCAAGTTTTGCTTGGGATTTTCCCTGCCTGTAAACCAGCTTCCCCAAGTGCCTCAAAAAATGTGTAAAGCCGGAATGAATCTCCTACACCGAGAGGATAAAAATGCGCTTCGCGACCCGAGGAGATACCAACCCTCCCGGGAACGGGAACGGTTAAGATGGGAGGGCGGGTGCCGCTGTCTCGCTCCGGGTCGGGCGGCGGGGAGCGGCGCCGGTCGCGCGGGG